TCTTGATTCAAATCACTTTTCACATTTTGGCGCGAACAGTAGCGCGTTTTAAGTGGCGCCACTATTCGCGCCAAAATGCGAAAAGTGATTTGAATCAAGAGTTACTTTGCTGCCCGTCGATTCACATAATAAGCTCTTCAGAAAAAAAATTTGGACCGATTCTGTTCCCCGTATAAAAAGTCGATTTTGCGCTAATGGTCATCTAGATTACTAGTTGGAAAAGGGACTTTTAACTAGATGCGTCTGCATGCGCAACTAGCAGTAATTAAATCGATCGATTATCGGGCGATAAATCGATAGTTGCAACTAGAAGAAATCTGGCAATCGCCCGATTACGAGATTTCCACGGTCGTTACCCAATAATTGCAATCGAGTAAAAATCTAGTAATCTAGATGAATCGGGCGATACTAGATGTTTTTTTGATGCTTGGGTTAATCTTATAAACAAACACTACATCACATGTTCACTGGCATATAATATATATTTAATATTATATAAGAAATAAAAATTTAAAAATAATTGCAGCTCCTCGTATTTTCGTTTATGGTTAAAATTTTTCGGTTCGGTTTGAAAGTTTTGATGTTGACTATTCGCCAGTATCTCGGGAACCGGCTAAAAAAAATAAACTGAAAGAATACAATTGATGGTTGTACGGTTCGAAGTAAAAGAACAAAACTTCAAAAATAGCTGATATATGCCGGTATACAAGGAGTAACTGTCATTTAACCGCTAACTAGTGCCTGCAGGTTAAACTGAACCTATGTGACTGATTATAACTGGTTTTTCATCTAAAAGAAGAAAACCAGAAAAAACATACGATAAGCGAACTAACTATTTATACTAAAACTCTAGTACATGATAAAAAACATGTCTCACTGTTTCATTCACTCGTATAATTTTTCTTTTTTGTAGTTACAAGTTCCAAAATTTATAATTTCAGATATTCTTTTGTTTTCTAGTCTTAGAAAAAGTGTAACCTACAGAAAATCACGAACACTGGTGTAACGTTTTTGCAATTTTTAACAAGTTTGACATCAATTTTCTCAGAAAATCTGCATTCTCAAGCTCTCTCAGATTGTACTATGAAACGCCTCGAACTGTGTTTCTTCTTATTATGCGAATAAATTATGAAATTCTATAGTGATTCACACTTAGTTGTCATTAATTTTAACAGTTTCATCGGATACCTGTAGCCTGCTATTGAGTCGAATAAATTAATTCCTGGCAATCTTTATTTTAATATTTGACGATGCGTTGTTTTAATACGTGTATGTATCTCTCCATCGACCTGTCAACTTTTCCATTATTTGTTTTTAACTCTTCGACAGCACCAAGTTTTCCATGATGATAATGTCTGAATCGGCCAAATTCTGCGTAGTTTGCATTCTGTTTATATTTTAATCCAGGCAATGAGTGAATCGTGACCATAATGGAAATATTTTCAGCCCGAATAAACATTTTTGGAGTGACACGCTGTTTCTCATCTAACAACACATTGCACTTTTTTATTGACAGTCTGTATCGACCCTGAATGATGTCTAATTGAGTTAGAAAGCAAGATAATTGCACTAATTCAAACTGAGTACCACACGAATACATGTGCTCCGGATACGTTTTATCAAGTAATTGAGCTAATGTTGTTGAACCATTCAAGACGAGATCGGGTTTCTCATCGTTCAATTGAAAATATTCATCAACATCAAAATAGCCCATCCATCGCTTATAAGGACCAAATGTTTTGAGTGCATGATTAATCAATGCACGTTGAATCGTATTCCAATGTCTTCCTTTAGTGGCCCTGTATGGCTATCAGACAATGGTGACTAAACGTTTATCGCTTGAGTAACTGATACGTTTTATCATTGCTCAAATTATCGTACAGATAAAAATGTTCGATTCCCCATAATAATAAATATTCTATCAGCTCTGGTGCCTTATCACGAATCATCGTGTAAACGAAAATACTATTATAAGTATGATAGACTGAAAAGTCAGTACTCGGCGTGGTCAAATTGTTACAGAATTCCCTTTTTCTGTCTTCCATAAATTCAAAATTGAAATGTAGAGTGAGTGCGGCTAATATAAAAAGCAGGAACATTTTTCACTCACTGATTTTTATTATTTTTAATGAATTTCTAAGAAAGTTTATGTATGTGTTAGGGCATTCAGGAAAATTGTTTCGAATAGATTATAAAATATCTCTTAGAACTGCTGAATGTCTCATATTCTAGAGAAATGTTTCTTCTACAAAAAGCATAGCTGTCAATTGATACAGTGAAGGTCTATAGTATAAACATGAATTCATAGTATCAACTAATCATACCAATACCACACAAACACACTTTCACGTTTTCGCAGTATCACAGTATCATAGTATGACTTTTCATAGTTTCACGGTAGCACAGCAATACTACGAATTTCACAGTATCACTTCAAACACTGTCATTCCTGACTACCAAGGGGAGCAGCGGGAGGGGGGGCGGTAGTATGAGAGCGAGTTACAAGCAGCATAGCACTACTTCTTCATAGGTGAATATACAAAATGAGACATTCGCTAGTTCTAAGGGATATTTTATAATCGATTCAAAACAATTTTCCTGGATGCCCTAACATCGATTATCAATCGATGCATACCTATTCTATAGATAGGCTGAATCAAAATTAAATTCATTACACTTTTATCTAGTCACATACATAAACTTTCTTAGAAATTCATTAAAAATAATAAGAATAAGTGAGTGAAAAATGTTCCTGCTTTTTATATTAGGCGCATTCACTCTACATTCCAATTTTGAATTTATGGAAGACAGAAAAAGGGAATTCTGTAACAATTTGACCACGCCGAGTAGTGACCTTTGGAACACCCTGTGCTCTTTTGACTAAATCTGATAATGTTCATTTTGCCTTATGACTATATTTGAGAAACTATTTGAAAGCTGTGATGATGTAAGATCGAAACCTGAGTATCTTGGACAAATGATTTTTATTCCATGTGGTACGTTAGCCGTAGACACGAGGAAAAGTGAATCAGATCTTTTTTAACAAATTTATTGTACTTTATTTATTCAATTTCAGTTTACATGAACAGGTATATCTGTCGATTGAAGAAAGATATTTTTGAGTATATGTAAATAGAATTACAAAAAAAAGAGATAACAACAACGCGTTGATTATTTCTTTATTGTCGCTTAAATTATACCGAGAAATATAGGCAGAACAGTGTATACTTCAGTATATTTGCTGTTGTCGTTATTAGAAGTTAAAATATAGTGATGGAAAATAAAAGTCAGAAGAAAGTGACTGGTAATGAAGAAGGTGAGAATCACATAATATACATAGACTGATAAATATACGAGAATTTTTTTTTCTGTTTTATTAACTGAGGGTCCGCCTGTAAGCATCTATAATGAAGTGACTAGTGCAAATGGTACAGTTGAATATGTGATAGTTTCTTATCGTCGTGAAAATGAAAATGTACCATATCTTGATCTTCAACAAACAAGAGATTTTTACGAAAAAGATGTTGGTACTTCAATTTTACCATGGAAAAGAAATATATCATGGTCTAACTTTATTCAAATATTAAAAGTGTTTGTATTATCAGACACTGTTCCACAAGATCGAAATACAACGGATCGTGTTTTCAATCTATTGGATTTAGATCGTAGTGGTAGTATTAGCATTGATGAATTACAACGGTTTTTCAAAATATTTAATTTAAATTGTACAAATACATTTCTTAAGGAATTAATTAAACAGTATGATGAAAATAATAATGGAAAATTAGACAAAACGGAATGGTATCAATTAATCACATCGGGACGTAGTAGACGATTAATCGAAGAAGCCTACAAACGATTACATGATGAATATCAAATATAAACAATAATTCAGAATGTTGAATTCATGAACTCAGTAGGGTATATTTTAAAATGTTCTTGATACTCTTTTATTACGTAACGCCTTTGAATTCGTATTCTGAAAGACTACAGAGAAAAAATTATTTATTAATCCTCTTTTGTTATATGATAATAAATATTTCACCGTTTCAAAATCGAATGTTTTTTCTCTCGAAATGCTGAATGTTTATCTGACTCTAAACAGTATATACCAGTTATTTCTGGCTGTTTTTTCGAGTATCCAGGAAAAACTGGATTATCAAGAATCTACCGACCATCGGAAAGTCTCATTTTGTAGGGAAATGTTTTCTATCTATTTGAACAAAACGTTAAAAGAAAAATTGCTTTATACGAAGATAACAGGTGGTCCGGTCTCACGCGCAATATCCCCGATCGGGATATCGAAGGAAATTTATATCATGATCGAGATATTTTTACAAAGCATTGCGGAAAAAACCATTATCGAAACAATTGTGACGTTGAAAAGTGACTATAGCATAAGAAAGCGGATGAAAAACTGAGTTGAAGTCCATGTTGCTCTAGTCTTGATCCAAAAGTCTATCGTTTACGATTTTTTAAGTCCAAATAGGTATATAAAATAGCTTGATTGAGATTGAAAGAACTAAGGCCAGAACAGAAAGAAGCAAAGCGCGAAAGAATACTTCACACTTGATAGAATTGAACACTTGAACTTTGAATTCAAATGCAAAGAATTTAAAATTGTCCAAAAGTAAACTCTGAGGTGTTCTCATCCCATCCTATGCAGTGCTATAGTGTGTTCTACCCCCGCTGCTCAACCCATACAGCTTATATCCTTGATACTATGTGATGAGTAATAGAGAGATGTTATAAATAGAGACACATGTGAATTAGACCGAGAGCGATACAAGTAGTATCGAGATGATGGAACGAGATTAGACAGCACGTGCTTTTTAAGAGAGACATTACATCACTGCATTACAACGTTGTACTTCTTCATATTCAGGCTATGTTCTCGTTGTTCTCGTATTCTTCTGCATATTCTATCTTTGTTTAGTCATACTAAATTTCTCTTCTTCTCTCTCAACTCTCCACTATATATAAGCAGATATTTTCAGTTCAATAGTAGTTAGATCGATTTCATTTTGTTGTAGTCACACGTTTGTACAATCTTAGGTTTTCTCAATAAAAGTCGACAAGAAAACGATTCAATTTAGTATCATTGGAGCATTGGTGATCTAACAACTGGGAGCCTGGCCGATTCTCGTGTCAATTCAACATCACACAAGAAGAACCCGATTTTTTATTTTGATATATATAATTTATTAATTAATGCATAGTTATAATACAACAAGCAAAGGTATTTTATTATCAACAACAACATCCGATACCACCATCGACGATACAACCAACACCATCTATGTTACCACAACCAGCCATGAATGTACCGTCATCATCCAATAATAATAATTATTTTGCACGACAAAATTTTTCATGCTATGGATGTAGAGAACAAGGACATTACCAACGATCATGCCTTCAAAATCAGCAGCAACAACACCATTGTCAGTAACGAGACACTGTATAGCGGTGATCTCAATAACAATATTAATAATCCATCACCATTACCGTTCATTTTCATCCCAGTTAACAACAGGTATATGAAAGCATTGGTCGATACTGCAGTATCACATACAATTATTCAACAGAGTGCATTAAATAAAATTCGACATAAACATGTTTATCCGGTCCAACAACACTACCATTTGGCTGATGATGCTTCGTCTTTATCCATTATCGGCTATGTTGATCTTGAGATTCGAATCCAACATGTTCGAACATATGTTACAGCAGCCATTGCAAAGTCATTGTCATGTCCATTGATTGTAGGACAAGATTGGATTACATATTACCGTGTTGATTATAAATCATCCACCAATCGACTGGCTGTTAATAACAACATTGTTTCGGTTCCCGTCGAACGTGTTGATGAAATACAGTAAGATTTGTACAACAAATAGTTTTGGAACCAAAATCTGAGCACATTGTCGAGGCCAATATCATCATCATCAGCTGTTTTATTTCATCCAAATCAAAGAATTCATCAGATCACATCAATTATTATTCCACATTCATTGGTGCAGGTTAATAGATATATTACAAAACTAACAATATATAATCCAAACATGTATTCATGGCGTTTATCGGCCAACACGAATGTTGGCACAATTACATCATTATTATCTAGTGACACACTCTCGAATTTCATTAATGGTGATACTACAACTTCGTTAACATGTGATAATAATTGTAGTTGTGAACAGCATGTTAACCAATATGCATATTCAGATTCGGATTGTCTTTGTTCATACGGTGCTTATGATAATTGTTATTACCAACGATATATATCATCGTTAAATGAGCAACAACAATCGCACACGACTAAATGCATTAATATGATAACTGATAAAAATGTAAATAATTCAACAACGCATGTACCAACTGTGATTCAAGATGCTATCAGACATGTTAACAGCAAACAACAACAGTAACAGTTATATGGAATTCTTCAGAAGCATAAGAAAATATTTGATACGTCATCGCCAACAATTGCTGAAACTACGATACCACATACCATACGTACAGCTGATAATCCTCCGGTGAATTTGAGATCTTATCGTGGATCAGAGCAACAACAACATGCTCTTCGTAATATTCTTAAAAACATGTCAGCAAGTAATCAAATCCGTCCACATGTCCGTGGTCGTCATCTGTGTTGTTAGTGAAGAAGAAGGATGGTGATTACAGATTTGTCGTTGATTATCGAAAGTTTAATAGTATTACTGTTAAAGATTCATTTCCAATTCCAACAACTGAATTAACTTTGAAACAATTATCAGGCCATTTATATTTTACAAAATTAGATTTAAAAAGTTGATACTTCCAAGTAGAAAAAATTACTACTTACTAAAAAAAAATACTTTTTAGAAAAAATTCTAAAAGTCTACCGAAAAGCGAGTTTCACGAAAATTTGGGTTTTCAGGCTGTTCTCACCTATTAACAAATTCACTCAATAGACATCAGAACGTTCAAGACTTCAGAATATACAGTATTTAAGCTATTCTATATCCTATTTATAGGAGATCTTAAAAGAAAGTTTACAAAATCCTAAAGTTTTTCAAAAGGGTTTCTGGAATAGCTATTAACACAAATATGCGTTTTCGATTTTTTCGATCTTATAATCCCATTTAGTGGAGAAAATCGACCAGGTCCTGAAGCTCTGAGCTCCTTCTGATGTTTACTGAGTGAATAATGAATTTTTTAATAGGTGAAAACAGTCTGAAAACCCAAATTTTCGTAAAACTCGCTTTTCGGTAGACTTTTAGAATTTTTCTAAAAACAAATATTGCCATGAGACTCAGCACGATCGATTACCTATAGTCCACCCGTTTTCAAGACTACCAATAGTCACCGAGTGCCAGTCCGGGGACTCGCAAGAAATTCGACACAACACCCGAGACGTGGAAAACCAAGGTCTCACTTGACTCTCATTTTGAAGAGGATACCTTGGGCTATCATAGCATGGAAGAAAATCAATACAATCCTATTGAAAAGTTTTACACACGGCCTGGTTTTCCAAAGGTCATCTCGCTGTTTCTCTCTGGTTTTCAGTAGAAACCGTTTTTCTCTACAAGGAAAACGAATTTTGATAAAAGCTCTACATATTTTTAAAGCTGGCGTGTTGGCCGATCTGATGGTGTGTGAATCATCGATATAGCCCTTCACCCAAAAAACTAGATAGATTTACAAAATGAGTCATACCCAGTTGACAACCGTTGGTTTGGACGTCCATGGCGGACCACTGTTTATCTGTGAAATGAGCTGAAAACCTTTTTCAAAAGCAGTTTTCAATGCTGATTTAGAAAAATATAGCTCGAACCTTCCATCTTGCAATACAAGCTCAAAAAGTCAATTCCACTATAGGGCTTGTCCAGTTAACGTGAGACTTCGTTGATTAAGTTTTTATTTTAAAACAAGACTAAACCGTTAACGTGATTTTGTGGAGCGCATTCGAAAGTATAGGAAAACATACTTCGAGATCATGTGAGTGCCTTGTGTGAGGAAGAAAAATGTTACAAACTAATTCTAAAGTACAATCTGTACGTTACATATTTGGAAGTCCTCTTTTTCAAATTATTTTGCTCCTAAATAACTTGATCTGAATCCTTAAGGAAGAATGTACTATTATCAGTGAATTATGGGCTTACTTTAAATGAAATAGCGAAACTCTTTGCTTTCTTCCCCATTGAGTTATAGTCAAAACAGTACTTGATTAATACAAGTGTCACAGCGTTACGAAAACACTTTTTTTAAAGAGTTTTCAAAACAAGTAACGAATTTCATCGAATAAACTCATATATCATAGAGAACTTTTAACGCTCTATCCAATGCACCACTTAGAGTTTTAAAAAGATTCCATCTTACGGCGGTTTTTCGTGACGCTGTGACAAAAACTTAATCTCTTGGTGATTTTCGTAGAAAGCCAACTAGCTTTCTACCAAATATCCAGGTTGCCTTTTACTATTATAAGTCAACCTTGACATTTAGGACTTGAATTATTGCATAGATATCTACAATAACAAGAAACAACATCGACATCGATGTTAAATGTGTTCTTTGTCGTAATTTTACGGTCAAAACTGTGAAACTAGTCTAAAGTGTTACCGATAAGTTATTTTTCTGCTTCTTCTTCGACTCGCTTGAAGTGAAACTTAACGATTCGTGCGTATTTGGAATGAGCGTCAAATTCTACATTGAATGATGTATGATTCATCTCAAAAATATAATCTTGTTCCAAAACCTGTTCGACAACGTACATGTGCCAATATATCCGATCAGATTAAAAATGCGGTTCATAAGTTTTATTTAAGAGACGATGTTTCTTATCAATTACCTGGTAAACGTGATACTGTTGTTGTTAAAAATGATGATAACATTAAAATAACATATCAGAAAAGAATACTTTTGAATAATTTACGTGAAAATTTTGAATTATTTATAGAAGAGAATAAAGGAATAATTATTTCTCGTTCATTGTTTTCTGATTTAAGACCTCCATTTGTAGTTCCAAAAGCAGCGCTAGCTCATAGAATATGTGTGTGGATCTATCATGAAAATGCTAATCTAATACTGAAAGCAATTGATAAATTTGTTAAAGGAAATGTTTGTTCATCTTTACAACAATTTACTGGGACTTAAGTTTGTAATACTGTCAATCAAGAATGTATGTTTCTTGCATGTCCATTATGTGAAAGTAATTTTCAAGAGAAAGTTATTGATAATGTTGTAAGTGGAGCAACTAGAATTAAATGGTGGCAATGG